AATGAGATTAGTGGCTCTTCCGCTATAGTCACAGCCTCCTTTGGAGACTCTTGGCCGATGAACCGCCTTTTTCCATAAACTTTGAAAGGTCCGGGGTTTTCAGCGGTTTTTTTTAGCCGAGCTCTCTATTAAAATTGAGTTCTCACTTGTGCCCAGAGATGTTGATATGGATTCAGAGGGTGCTAGGTTATCAATGAGCTGTCGTCCTGAAGAACATAAAGAACTTTCAAAAACTAGATTTTACACCGGAACCCAAGCCCAAATAGTCATCCAGGACGTTGTCTCAATAGTCTAAATCTAAAGTTGACACTGGATCTAAAGTTAACAAAATTTTTTTTTCTCTTGGCATCATCTGTGTTACGTGAAGAGGAACCAAATGGTCTTCTAGATGAGGATCGTCCAGTTGTGTTTGAATCCAGTCTCTTGCACGGTGATTTTTTTCAATTCCTGCTAGCTCAGCAGTATTAACTGAGGGTACTCGTTTTGATCATAAATTTTTTTGGAGCCTTTGGATGATTTTTTGAAGGCTAGATCTGATTTCCTGAGAACATGATCATTATCGAGAGTTATTATATGTTTAGTATCAGAAATATCTTTTCCATCGAGTGATTTAAAATATGGTAGGCCTTTTTATATAATGTCCTCCTAAAACATTTTCCTCCTTGGGCGAAGGGATTTGACAAGGGGGCTCTATGTGTGACTTGCGTTTATTTATTGGTCGGGTCGCTCTCTTAACCTTTGTTGTCAGGTTTAGTATCTTCTAAATAGCCATCATCTGTGTCGTCGTTTGTCCACAGTCCTGGGCTCACTTCGTTGACCTCCGACTTTTGTTCATCTAATTCAATTGCGTGTGAGACTAAGCTTTTCCAAAAAGTATTCGGAGATTTTTTTAAAGGTTTTAAGAAAAGCGGGCATCCAGTGGATGGTTGTCCCGTCGAACGAACGTTTCAGATGTTTTTGGCAATCGCAGAATTTGAAGGCTCTTTAGGTTCTGTTAAGGTTCAACATTTGCAGTAGTTTTGCTTTTACTGTATAAATTATAGGTTTTACGACTCCATTGGATCTATGATCCCCACAGTACATAATATTAGAATTATCATTTTTCATGGAGAAAAAGCAAAAATTGTTTGAAAGAAAACAGCACCCCAATTAATTTGGGAATTACGTGTAAACTGCAGTAATCAGTCAAGAAAGAGAGTGTTGAGGATGTAGACGTATTTTTTACAACTTTCGCTGAAGGAAACTTAGTGAATCTATCGATGCATCATAATAGGTGTTTCGATGCGCCCCAGTTTTTATCCAATGGACCGGCGAAGTCCAGGTTTATCTCTTCATTGGACCCGACAAGTCCTGTATTTCTGTATGTTAGCCGATCCCAAAATGACTTTCAGATTCCTACCGTTTTTAAAACATTGCGCGCAATTTTTGCCGTAATGATAAATTTCTCGATATAAGTGGGGCGACCAGATGTTTTTGGCCAATGTCTTCATGAAGAACTGTCCTCGGTGTGTTTCGAGTAAAAGACTCGCGAAAGGGGATCTGAGGGCCGCTGGAACAATCAGTTTTCAATTTGTTGTCGTTGAAGAGGAGTCCTTCCTTCAAGCGAATGTCCTCTTGGAATGTCTTCAAGTATGCATCAAATTTGTCCAGTGGTTTTCCGCCTTGTAGAGCTGTCTTGACTTCTGCCACATTTTTTTTTGTTTTTTTTTTGTAATACAAAAACTTATTTGAACCATGATCCCTAAGTTTTAGTGGAGATGATGGTAACTTTAAGCCTCCCATGTATTTCAAAAATAATTTCTGGTGAATTTAAGATATATTGTCGTTTTATAACTTTCATATAATTCTTTGTTTTTCTGAATATACAGAGTTTTTGGGAACTGAATGAGGTTTGAAAAGCAAATAACCCGGATTTGCCATCGAGAATTAAATTTGATAGAGAAGGTAATAATGATGAGATTAGAAAGAAAAAAACGGATTTGTCGGATAAAAAAACCGATGAAAATTGAATTTTGAAAGACTTCGGGTAATGCAACTGCTCGAACAAGACTCTGAACGCAAATGATTGTAATTTCACTTCCAAATTTATCTGCGACGTAATTGAGAAATTTTCCTGAAAGATGAACCGTCGGAGGTGCAACGTTTTTTCATTCTTTCCGACCATTGGATAAATACCATTCAAGTTTGTTATAAATTTTTACACTGCGCAGAGGAGTATTTATCAATTAATCGTTTTTTATAGGATTCTAGTTTTTACAATTACTGTACTGTTTACAAATTAGTTTTCTGTTATCTTGTTGGTTGTGGCGACCACAAAGTCGTTGTTGTAAAATGAAGTAGTGAGGGCTTTTCCAAAGGAAGTCTTGATAATAAGTCAGTGCATTCCATTTCCTTCCCTGGGGTTTGTTCACTTTTAAAGTTAAAAGGCAAAAGTCGGTTTGCCCAGCGGGTTACTATTCTTCTGTGCATAGTTTTATTGCTATAGTTCGCATTTAGCGCGGTCAGTAAGGCTTTATGATCGGTTACGATTTCGATTTCTGATCCGTATAGATAGTTTTTAAATTGTTAGGTTGCCCAGACCACTCCCATAACTTCGTGTCGAATATTTCAATTTGTGGGTTATTAAAAATCTTGCTGCGAATGCTATTGTGGTCCAAGACTCCCCATCTTCTTGTCCGAGTGTTGATCCTCATCCGTGATGCGAAGCGTTTGATTTTATTCTTGGTTTTCTTTTGATATCAAAGGGTTTCTTTTTTGTTATTTTCACAATCTGCTTTTTGAGTTCTTCAAAAACCAAAGTAGGAGAACCACTCCAATGGTAGACTGCTTTTTACTTCGATACAGGACGTAGCAGTGAATTCAGAGTTGACAAATTTGGTACAAATTTCATGTACTGACTTATTGAACCGAAGATTGATCTGAACTCTGATTTTTGTTTGGGCTCAGGATATTTTTTACTGAATCAATTTTCTATACCAATGGTTTTACCCCTGTTTTAGAAAACTTGAAGCCTAACCATTCAACAACTGCTCAGAAAAAGGCACATTTTCCCGCTCTATTGCCATAATTTTGCTTTCCAAGGTAATCAAAATTTTCCACAGGATAGATGTATGCCCTCCGTTTAATTTTTTTTATGTTCAGGTTTGGTTCTTTTTTACCTGATTAAAACTTTGGTAAGTTGTTGTTGTTAGCAGTTGTTGTGGTTAGCTCTCGTCTTATTGGTTAATTTAATATGGTTATTATACCCTTTTTCGTCAATAATTGCCTGATTGAGTAGTTCCAATAGTTTCAACGTTTCTGACATAAGTCTCCGTTGGAGATCGCAGTTCCTCGTGTTAAAGATGAATACATCTCGTATCGATTCTTATTCTGCGTTAATTCCGATTTCACACGTTCTAGCTAAATCTGAGAGTGCTCTCCAAAATACTTCGTGGGACTCTCTGTCTTTTTGTTTTCGGCTCATTAGTTTTTACCGTTCAAACGTGATGTTCGCTGGTTTCACAAATGCGGATTTAAGGATCTCGAATTTTTTTTTTAATGGGACAAAGAAAATTTTCATCCTAGAGTGCTTGCGTGAAAAACTCTTTTCCCTATGGATCCTAAAGCCACGTATAGATTGATTTAACTTTTTTGTCAGCTTCGTTTCTTCTCATGCTAAGTTATCGTTTTTTTCCTCAATTCTTCTGTCTTCAGCGTTTTCGTAAACTCGCATTACTTCTTTGGTTCTGACCTCCCTGGCTTTCCTCTGTGTTTCATTTTCTGAATCCTGGGCGCCTTGTACAATTGCAGGAGTTCCCCGCATATAGGAATCAGTTGACTGCTCCATAATAAGAAGTGTTAAATTACCTCTTGTATACTAAGGCTAACTAAAATAGAGTATAATGAATAAAAATGAATGTGTTGAATTGTTCTTGACTTTTCTCTAAAGAGATCGGAGGGTGACGCGAAGTCCAATGGACGTCTGTTTGAACACAACTAACAGGTATCTAATTAGTAACTAGGGGTCAAACTAAGAGAGATAAAACACAATACCACAACAGCATGAGGTAGGTTTTAATTATTCTGAAAATATGTTAAAAAGTTAGTAAATAATTTGGAAGGAACGGTAGAAAGCGATACGATAAAAAGTTTAGGGCAGAATAAGGTAAACCGCTATGTTATCGCATGCACAATGGGTTATTCCTGACGAGTGAAGAAAGCAGGGACTGTAAATTTCACTAAATATGACATGACAACATTACATGAGGTTTATTTCAAGTGTAAAAGGGTGTTCGGTTAGAAGTTGAACGATCTGCAAATATTTTAAATGTTAGGTTCAAATCTTATTTTCTATGTTTATCCTTTTTTGGACTTTCATTTGAGCCCAGAATTATTGTAGTGTAACAAGAAGAACATTTACTGTCAGATCACAGAAAAAAAATGTGGTACTACTCACTAATACCAGTTTCCTTGGTTTTTTAGTCCATCATCATCATGCAACAGTACCCACTCACATGGGAGTTGTATTATGTATAACCCGTTGACCTTAAATTTCTTGTAAGTTCGAAAAAGAGTTTTACTCTCAAGGCTTTCATGTTGTGTCGATCAACTTCGATCTCTCGTTTGGCTCTGAAGCTTTCATTCAAAGTCTCAATTTTAGTGGAGCGAGTACACTACATCAAATGGTTGAGTGCGTTCGCCTGTTTGTGAAGTATGGATGGTTGGTGCAAGTTAGCATCAGTATCGTCGCTGTGTGTTGCAGAGTTTAAGTGAAAGTAGGAGCCACACGCAGTGTGGTCTACTCTCAGTCTAGTCGTAGGGTCTGTTTAATCCTTGGCGCCTGTAGAACAGCAAACAACAGACATCTCTCAAATGAATTCACCGTTGGATCTCGTCTGCTACGATCTTTGCAAAATGATTTTATGTGGCTATGGACTATCATTGGACCGGCTAAGTGGATTTCAATTGGGCCACAATATTCAAAATACCAAGTCCCACTGAAGTGAATATATTTGTGTCTCTGTCTTGTATGGACTGCTCTAGTATTTATGGTCTATATCTTGTAGTATGTTGTGTTGGCATATAAGATTATTGGCTGGTAGAAATAAAATAAGTGGACGAATAAAGGGACAGGTTTATTGGCTGAAATTATACCAATTCCTTCTCTATTTGCGCCACAAATTCAATCAACCTGCTATACCATCAACCAAGTATGTCTTCGTCTGCTGCTGCTGCTGCTGCTGCTGCTTCGAAAGCCATCAGCCATTCACTCATTCATTATACACAAGAACAACACAAGATTCCTGTCTTCCCTTCCGCCCATCCATCCCAACTCATAATTCTCCACTCAACAAACCCCCTTCACTTTAAAAACAAATATAGTCAACAAGGCAGACAAGCAACAGGCGCCGAAATACGTGGAACGGAACAAACACAGCAGCAGCTAACTATTTATTTAATTTCGATCCAAAGTCCCTATTTATAAATAGACTAATCCAATATGCTTCTTAGTTGCTGCAGTGGTGGCTCAATTTAATTTTCAATCATCCTCCAATCCAAAACGACCATTTCATTCATTTACTGTTGTTCTTACTTCCTGCTTTTTTGTTCACTTCGTTTACAGTTTTCTCTGTTTCTCCAGTAGCTTTTCCCCCATCCTTCAAACATATAACTGTTACCTACTCTATAGAATAACACTACCCAATCGAATAAAAAAAATGGCAGCCTAAAACAAAAACCGTATTTTTGTCCAATTGTGGCCATGTATAAACTCTGTTGAGCTGTTGTGGATGCTATCATGATAAAAAAGAACAGTAAGAAATCGGATTTGTGTTTGAGTTGCACAATTCGAATACATCTCAAAAGGAGAAGAGGGGACGAATTGTTATTGCAATGCTCCACTTTATTCGGTCGATGGCTCTCATTCTGTCTGGTTCTGTTCTAGCCCCCCTGTCAGCGCCTGTCGTCGACCAGCAGTAATCAAAACACAACAAGAAATATACTTCTCCTCCCCCTGCCTTTTTCACAGCACCGCACTGGATAATAGCAACGGACGCAGACCTACTCAATCAGCCAGAGTATTTGAGCCAGCCGCCCTTCTAGTTGTCAGACGGATAAAATTGGAGTTCAAACAACTCTCATTTGAAGCAGTCTTTTATCCTGTCTCTTATTTTAATGGTCCGCGTCTTGGATGATTTCGTCCAATCAAAATTGTTTTCTTAGAGAAAGACAACAATCAGAAAATAAAGACGTCTATTCATGGCTTCATAAAGTTGATACTTTACTTATTTACTCTCTTCTCTCTTTTTTTTTCAATTAAATGCCTTTTTAGCTAGCTAGAAGACGAGACAAAATTACAAAAGCAAATTTCAAATTTGAAAAGTTCCTAATAATTAGATACTGTTACAAAATTTCAGTTCATTTCGCACATTATCCTTTATCCGACAGTACTTGTTTCTCCTGGACGATGATTTTTACAGCATAGCGGACAATAATTGAACGACAACAACTTGGAGCCCCTTCGCCCTAGAGTAACGAGAGCCAAGAATTGAACGATTTATCATATCCTCCTAAATCAGTGAACTAAAGGAGGATAAATCAGTGAATCGTTCAAACAGGATCTTTTCAAAATGTTGGCCCGACCTGCTTTGACAGTCAAACCAACTTCTATAATGACGACTATGGTGCTTCTATTTGTTTCGGCCTCTTCTACAATTGTTCTCGCAACTGCCGTCTCTGCTACATCTGATGTGGAGGGGGGAATTAATTCCTCGTCATCTAACCCTGGATCTTCCTCCCCCTCCTCATCTCTTACCTCATCCGAGGGTGCAGCCGAAGTTGGTGGGGGGAGTGCAATGACAATGGGGGGACTGGAGAGAGGGACTTCAGGCATGTTCTTTGTAGTTCACCCACGTGACCACATTCTGGGCAAGAGTGAACAGAGTGTGAAGGTGGAGTGCACTGCCTTTGGCGCCAACAAAATCACCATCAGGTACAGTTCGCATTTCATCAATCGGATCGTGTTAACAATCGTACGTCTGTGTTCCAAGTTTAAACACATTTTTGTTTGGCATGGTATGACTATACTTTGGCCCAGCCTGACACACGGTAACATTCCATTGAACTATCAGGGACTTTAAATTATGCTGTGAATTGCGATCATTTTACAGTCAATGACATCAAAAAAATGCAATCGTAAGTCGGACCTTCAAAAAGGTTTCAAAAATTTTGTCGACCATTTTTGTAGGTCGACCAAATTGATATTCTGAGCTCTCGGAAATCTCTACAAAGACCCTATTTTTACCTAACTTTGTGCTCCGCAAGCAACTTTTTGAACAAACAGGCCAAAAACGGCGTTTTAAGATACTTTATGGAAAGTTTTGACAAACTTGACGATAATTGATGAGAGGCTGATTTCCCAAGCTTCTTGCTATTACGGTTTTTAACGTTAAGTTAACTATAGTTGCCGCTCTTCCTGCTTTTTCACTTATTTCATAACTTTTCTAGAAAAAATAACAGGAAATTAAGACAAACAAAAATTGCAATACAAATTCGGTAAAGATTACTTCGTTAAAGCAATAGATTATTTTGAACCTAATAAATAGTTCTGGTAAAAAGCATTTTCTTACCGATATTAGTTAACAAGTTTTACTTTTTTCAAAAAAAAGATGATGGGCATTGAGGAAAAAATCTTAAGATTCGAGCCAACCCTAACTTTAAGTCTTCAGACTTCTTGGAAGCTACTTGTCGTTTTCCCCGAAATTGGTCCATCAATTGAATTTTTTGGTGATTACTGACTAACGATTATAATTTTGTTATGACTCATTCGACTGACCCTTTTCTGTTAACTGTGCAAAAGTAAAGAAGCATTTGTTCTTTCTCCATTAAAACTGTCCGTTTTAATCGGTGAAACAAAGACAGGTCTGAAAAAGAACAGGAATAACCGCGGGCTAAAATGGTTGGCAAAAAGGACAGTAGAATGGCAAAGACAAGAATCTGTACCTTTGAATGGGCTGACTTTTCTGTCACGGACAGGTAGCAGTGGACGCATTGTTTGCATAGTTGACTAATTGATGGCTTCCTAATTAGAGGTTGTGTCGGCTGTATATTACTAAATAACTAGTTTAGCCCAGATTAAGACAATACCTGTAGTGCCAATTAAGCCCTTGTTGTGTGCGAATGTGTGTCCATTTCTTAGACTGCTCGACTTTTCTGAATTGCGGGATGTCTTTTCTAATCACTTCTCAATTTTCCCCGTTTTTATATCTTCGCGTTACTTCGCTCATTAAATCACAAAAAAAAAAAAGAAAAGTGCTTCATGATTTTTTTCTAATTTGGTGAATCACTTGTATCCTTTGTATCTTATGAAAAACTGCACACAAATGACTAGTTAGGTCAATTACCAGGTCATTAGTTTCACTAATCATACCTTCTCATTTTCCAAAGTGGCTAAACATAAAATCATGTCAGAGAAAATGCATTAATGATTTGAAATGGGCAATTTTAACAGAAGTTTCTCTTTGTACAGAAACAGACAACAGAGCAGACTGAAGTTCAGCCTCTCTAGAAAGGGAGGTTAATTAGCAAGAGTAAGAAGGTTCAAGAGCCTCCCTTTCTTCTTGTTTCCATGGGTCAATAACAGATATAAATACTATGATTAGTTCATTTGTGACTTACAAAGCTTTCTTTTGTGTTTTCGCTGATCAAATTAAAACTAATTGCAATTTCTTAAATTGTAATTGGAACTTATTTAAGAATTAATTTCGATTTCTGAAAGAAAGTTGTTTTGGGAAATAATTGAGACTTTGAAATGTTTCAGATGTGGGAAGGACGCCTTTCTGCCCGACCGAGCAACGCCTCCTTTTTCGGACACGATGAAGGAGTTGAGCGCCTCTGCGGGTAATTTGATATTCCAATCATCTCATAACCATCCTCAACACATTGTCAGAGCTAGTTAGCTACCCGTATTCATCCATGCATAATTCATCATCATCACAAAGCATCTTTCTGTAGCTAAAAGGAGATAAATAGATTGTGTCAAGTTTCTCCGTTAATTACATAATCTCAGTTAACTTTTTCGTCCAATTCACAGAAAATTAGAAATATTTCTAACTTTAAAAAGGGCTTAAAAGTCAAAACTTCCTGCGACAATGCAAACTAGAGAATTAGTCATTGAGTTGTTCATTAGATTGGAATTGGGAATTGAAATCTGGGAAAAGATTGTAAATATCAGGATTGGCCCTAATGAAAGGCTGTCTACTTGGCCCCATATCAGGTACAACACATGCACCTGAGATTGTTTCGATTCCCGAGATTAAATTAAACAAGGCACTCGTAAACTAGATTGCAACTTGAAAAAGAGACCATAAATCAAAATTAACTAGCCCCCCAGTCCTCTCCCACGGCATAAAAACACATGATGTCCAATTCCAGCCTCCCCCTCTCAGTCACAAGTGTTCCCCACACACCACTCACACAAAAAGTACATAGTTGTAAAACACAAATTCTGATTACTTTTAACTAGTTCTAAGCAATAAAAGGTGATTGAATATTCATCTAGTGTGCAGCTAGTATCATTTTCCCCGCCTTCTTATTTTCCGAATTACAACTAAGTTTTTAGGCATCGAAAAAGACCGCATGTTAAAAACCTGCGATGCGAAGTTAATTTTAAAAGTTGAAACACTTAGTCAGTTACTAAATATATTTTATCTTGAGACCGCAGGGTGGAGGCCAACGATAGCTTGGCTCGGTCTCTGGTGTAGCATCGTTGCTCAAAAGTTAAATGTCGCTCTGCTTCTATTATAAACTGAGTTCGGCTTCTGGGTTTTGACACTTTGCCAAAATATTTTCTTTTTTTAATCGCATTATCACATTCTTAGTCCAATTTTTAATGCAAAATATATATAATGCAAGATCAATTTTAATGAAGTTCATGAATTTTTTAAAACTCTATAATTCCGTTTGTCAAGGGAAAAGCAAGGCTATCGTGACTGTTTGAACGCCGCATCTACTTGGTCCCGGAGGAGCATTATGTACGAATTAGAACAAATTAATAGGTTCCTGAATGGTTGGCAAATTTATCATAGCAACGGATGATTGATGTTCGATAACAAGTTATGAGTTATTGCTGTGTGTTTTGTGGGAAAACTAGTGAAGTTAGTGATTGAGGCAGGATTGGGGGAATGGATTTACTTCATTTTGCAATACCTTCCCAGATTCCGATTCCTTTCATCTTAGCCACAGTGAGCAGTGATTACTTTGAACACACCTGAGCATAGTCGTTTAGAATTATTTTGAACCGATTTGTGGATTATGTATGATGTTTCTCATGAAGGAAATGAAGTTTAAATATCATCAACACCTAGGTCGATGGTCAGGGGCGGATTTAGGGGGGGGGGGGCGGGGGGGGGGGGGGGGCGGACGCCCCCCCCCTCAGGGATTCGACCCCCTGCCGACCCAAAGGGTCCCCCCTTTGATACTTTTTCAGAAATCCATTTTTGGCCGACCGACCCTAAAATTTTTCTAAAGGCGCCTTTGGCGCCAATATATACTAATTTTGAGGGGGAGCGCGCGCCAAAAAAACGCGATTTTTTTGTCAAAATTTTTCAAAAATTGCCCAAAAACGGCTTTTTTGACTGTTTTTTCAAAAATTTGCCTGCGGCGCAGAAAATTTAGCCAAAGTAGGGCCAAAACAGTGCTTTGGGAGAGCTCGAAAAATCAATTTGGTCGACCTAAAAAAAAAAAAGGTCGTCAAAATTTTGGAAAATTTTTTGAAAATCCGCCCCCCCCCTCGAGAAAATCCTAGATCCGCCCCTGTCGATGGTGTTTATGAGTAAATTAAAGTGGTGTTAGCCTGATTAAAAGATTGGGAGGGAAGCTTGACTTCGCTTAAAAACTTCGTTTATTCGTCAAATGAATTGCCGGCCGACTCTATTATTTGTCGGTAGAAAGTTCTTTTTTGTCTTCCACGAACATGAGTGAGTAATTCAACCAGCTCTCGGGTTTTCTTTACCGCAATCTAACCTTTTAGAATTGGACCGGAAATCAATCGAGAGGACGCATGGGAAAGGCGTGGAGTGCTTCTGTGAGGCGGACAACTCCACCCACCGGGTCAAAAGTGACACCAGTCTCATACGACTTGCTTGTGAGTCTTAGTAATTCACTACTCTCTTTTGGATCGATTGTCAGCAAATACTAGTTTACTTATACCCAAAAATTATTGATGAGTTTCTCCTCCGGTTTCTTGCAAAGATTATTAAGATTTTTGTCAATGGGTTTCTACAAGCTCCAAAAAAGAATTTTTCAGTTCATGATTTTTCCGTTTAAAAAATCTAATCGTCAATTTGTTGTGTAAAGGGTTTCAAATTTCTGTCATGTGCATCGATCGATTAATGTGTTATTTTTGGTTTTTATCTATGATCAGAGGTAGAAACCATCATCTTTGTTGTTTTAAGCTCACATAAATGCTGCCTTGTTTGTTGTTTTTAGCTAATAACGTGTAGGTACAAATCGCAAACCATTAATTAATTCGTGTTCGGTGCTTAAGGAGTCGAGTTGATCAGCTTTTATGACAATCATCAGAGCGTCGCCTAAAGCTTTTGAGCTTTTAATATACATAACTCAGCGTGACATTTGGTCTCGAATGAATCTCGTTTGCAGCAGTTTGTATACATTCTGGTATACTTGACAAGAAGAGAAAGGTATCTCGAGTTGGTTTTGGTAAGAATGGTCGGAGGATTATAAATCATAATTGGCCCTCGGCGCCAAACACCCTCGATGGTATGTTGTGATAAAACATTAATGGATTGGCGATTGGAGTGGTTATATGGTGATTAGTTATGCATTCAAGCTCTAATTAAAGCGGTCGGATAGTTGCAACCAGCGGCTATCTAACAAGTGAGGCCATTTTAATTACAGGTTTGCATCCAATTTGTGACAGCGTCTACCAACCAGAGACACATAGTCGCTATGTTGCCTCTACCAAGCCGAAGCTAATTGATCTGCATTAGCTCTATCTGTAATCAGCAAACACAACCAAACTTCACTTTTTCATATGCTCCAATCTGTCAAAACTTCACATGAAACATATTTACATGATTTGAGCTAAGAGAAATCCCAAGTTGTATGGTAACATTGTCTAGAAAACATCCCATTTTGGTAAAATGAAAATTACTAGAGAAAATTTGAGCTCAAAATTTACTTATAGTCTATAATTTAAAAAATACAAGGTTTTTTTTATCAGATATCGAGCATTGATTATGAATTTTGTGAATGTTGGGATGCTTTGGAAGTCTTAAATAAAAAAAGTTCTTTATTTTTGAAACAGGAACCGGATTTCGGAACTTGGGATCAATGATACCTTGAGTCGCCATTATTTCAGGTCAAACAGAATATGAAGCGACTAAGTGTCTTTTATAATCACCATTCTGATCTATCTTCAAGGGACGATTCTTGACCAAGAGCAAAAAGCAACATGCAGACATTTGTCTGAATGCATATTCAGCGTCATGTTTTAACTTAGTTGTCTACCTTCTTTGCTGTTGCGTAACAGATGTACCATAAAACATGGGCCAGCTTTGAATCAAGTAGCTTTGATTCCTACTGAGAAATGTGTTTGTCTTTCATTTAATTGCTAATGATCCGTCCTTTCACTTTGAAAAGAGCGATTAATTCCCGATTAAGTCACTGGAGCATCTTTTATGATGCCAGCAGAGGGGAGGGAATCAATTAATGCAATTTCTTCAATATTTATTGTAGGAGCAGCATGTACCTTTTCTCAATAGCGTTCTAACTGTTTGCCTTTTCTTATGTTAGATTTGAAGAAATCTTGGCGGGAGGAGCCCCACCCGATCCAGCGAGTGAGAGTGGGAAACTCGGCTGAGATATGTGCCCAGGTGCCGGAGGGTCTTCCGGAACCAGAAGTGAGCTGGTCAAAAGATGGAAAGCCAATGGATCTCACAAATCAGGTATCTAGTCACGATTTTTGCGTGTTCATCAAAAAGTTTTCAGTACCCAGTTTCTATTCCAACAATTTCACTCTGGCGTGCGCAGGAATGTTTTGAAGGGGGGTAGTTGATAAAAATGGGTTTTTCCCATTATAGACCCGCGCCAGCAAATTACAGACACCCCAAAATACAAAAATCTCTGCTGTAATTTTTTTGTTAGTAAGCTGGAGGAGGGTTTGATGGAAAAGACCCGAAAAGTTTGTCGACCTTTTTTAATTCAGTATTTTTGGTGAATAAGATTATTTACCTTAGTTATGAACCTTCTTTCTTTCTAACCTTACTCGCAATTAAAAGTATTCATTAAAACTTATTTGGACATTTCACTGTAGCATTGGAAATTGCATTGCATCTGTTCTCTGCTTGATTTGTGGCTACTCTCAATTGTGCGAGACTCTCAATCTCTAGTTGTTCCGACTTTCATAACGAAAGTAACGGAAGGGCTGGATTTTTTTCTTCAGACAAATTTCGACTTTTTAACTAGCCATTTTTGACGGAATTATTTAAAATCATTCAAAAGGTATTGTTGTCCTGAGCTTAAATTTGAAAAGATATTTCAACTGTGATCATTTTTCATAAACTTATGGGGATTTAAAAATTGCTATTTCGGCCAATTAGAGACAATTAACGCGCGGTATATTTCTCGCTATTAACACGTAAGCGGAGGTTTAATCCGTCTAAGAAATCGTTTCAAATTGGTTGAAGGAAGCTTATTTGTATAATTGATTTGTTACTAGGAGCAAAATTTATCACTTTGTACTTTATATCTTTATATGCCGTTTGGGGGGCTGGTTTTAAAAAAAAATCTCAAATTAAAAAAATAATAATTTTTTTCTAATTTAAATTTCAGATTTTTTGTTAAAATCATCCCCTAAACGGCATATAAAGTACAAAATGATAAATTTCGCTCCTAGTAACAATTTCTTAGACGGAAAAAAATTGTTTTTTTTTACATTTAATTTTTTCATGTTATTACTGCTCTATAGGCAGTCGGAACTTTCAGGGTCTGGCCCTGATACGAGCAGTTTTGTTTATCATTTATTTTAGTTGCAATTTTTAGATCGTTTTAGCATTTATCATTGCATTTTTTGTTCCTTCAACCTATTTTCACCTATTTCAATCAGAGTATTATCATCGCTTTTTAAAATTATTTTTCGCTGCCGCCGTTTTTTACAAAATCGTTTTTTGCTTCTCCACTTACTCGCTGAATTGTTTTTACGAGTTTTGCTTTCTTATAAAAAATATTTCAGAATAGATATTTTTTGAATAGTTTGCAGTTTAAACAGTTGTGCATTTAAAAAAACAAGTACTAATAACACGAAATAAGTCTCGTGACTGTTAAAATTAGAATAACGTTCAATTACGCAATTTTACCTTTTTATGTGTATTCAAGTAGCTTTTTGTTCCGACCATTTGAAAAATGGGGAGGAACTTTATATTCGGGTGTCTTAGTTTTGTTTCCACGCAAAATCAGGTAGGTACCACGAATAATCATCAGAATGGGTCGAGTGATATATCATATTGAAGATTTTTTAGTCGTGATTCGAACAGTTTCAAAAAAATTTGAAAATTTTTTCTCAGTGTCAGTTTGAAAATTTTGATTTTTGGTCTAATTTTGAGCTAATAAGGTGAGCGTGCAGGCTTACAATAGCTTAAGCCGTGTTTGGTTCAAGGTAAGCCGTGAAAATTTATTTTTACTCGAACAAATTTAGTGCTTGGAGTTTTTTTAGCGCCATTTTGTGAACTGAAAATTTCAAAAAATTTGCAAAAAAAATTAAATAATTTAAAAAAAAAATTTTAAATTTTTTTTATCATTTTTTGTTTTTCTAGCCATTTTTTGTAGCCATATTTTCTAATTGGCCTATTTGGCTATGACTGTTGCTTTTGCCTGATTTCCATTGCAGAAAAAACTTCACTGATTTGAAAAAAATGTATCTTTGTTTAAGACTATAGTCAGAACATTATGTGCTACTTGCATTGTAACCGGCTATCCTTGTTCGCTTTTGTTATTGCTTTATCGAAGTGGTGATCGCTTTCACTTATATTCTTCATTCGGCAGCTTTTTTCCGCTTTTGCTTTAAGTAAAAACAATATTCGGACCTCAATGGCTCTTCACATGAAAGAAACAACAGATGAAGAAAAAAAATTGTGTTCGATTTATTTTGACTTTTTTCGTCTTTCGAATGTATTCTCAAAAATTTCTGGGTTTAGAATACTCTGTGCTACTTGCAAAGCAACCGGTTATCCTTTTTAGCATTTCCCAAAAAGTTTTAGTAAATCATTGTCAAAGTAATTGGAACAACGAAAGTTGGATTACAAATTTGCCACTAGCTCCGTTCAATAGTTGGGCAGGATAAAAATATTAGTAGGTAACATAAAAAATGAAGGCTTTCTTAATTAAGGTACCCTTATGTTAGTGGTACACACAGTGATTTGGGCTTTGATATAGGATCACATTTAACTATCAAATAATCTGCCATCTGAAGATGTTTATAAACTTACGAAATTGACCAAGTAATCTCCTTCATAAAAGTATCTACAACAACAATTACGAATGATTTCTCTTCGTAAATTGTTTCTTGCTTCCTGGTCTATAAATCCTGATAAGTCAGACTAGGGCTTCCTATCTGATTATGACAAAGCCAGTTTTAGAATCCATTAAGCTTCAGATTAAGTTTGAAGCTGTGGTGATTTGAATGAGATTTTGACTGTTATTGTCTTCAATCTGTTTGCCCTGATAAACTAGATAACAGTGATAGGTACTTGGATAGCCCCTAAGAGAGACTAAATACTTTCAAATTAGCCCAAGCTACCCTCCCTTCAGAAGTTAACTTGTGGTTATTGGTGGCCTTATTGGTAAGTGGTCTCCTGATAAACAGACACTGCAACCCCCTGTTCCGTCCACCGACTGGCTCAAACTGCAATCCTAGGCTATCATTTTTATCAACTGAAACTAAGTCCTCCAAATCTCTAACCAAAACTCTGTAATTCCCAATTCATGATAAAGCTAATCCTTAATTATGTCACGTCGCTCACCAATTCTTTCCTCTCTATTTTTGATCAAGAGTCCGAAATCAGAGCCGATCAATATGTTCTCAGAAAATCAGACAATAAAAAAGTCTGAAGTTTAGATAAATCGTTCGTAGAAATGTATCAGGTCATCTTTAAATCCTAAAGTTCTGACCAAGTAAGCGTTTCTTACAAAGTGGTCCCAATGACAATGGCAGCGTTTCATAATGAGGTAAACTACTGGTTGGATTATGTGGCACATGCCCATTGGCCGACCCAACTTTTAAGTCATGGAGGGAAATTTTTTATGATGTGTGGATAGAGAAGTATCATTGGAAATGGTGACATTATTTTTGTTCTCTGTCTCAGGAGGGAGTTCTGATGACGCGGAGGCCCAACAACAGACACTGTCTCATATTCAGTCTGGTGATGGAACAGACAGCTGGACTGTACACGTGTGAGGCTGCCAACATAGCCACCAATAGAACCAGTCTCCCCTCACAACTCAGCGTCTACTGTGAGTAATCACCCCAAACTATAACTGGGAATAGGGTGGTTTCTACATTTTTTCTACAATCACCTAATTTTTGCGGTTTATTGAGTAATTCAACCCCTGAAATTTTTTAACGAAGGACAGGAAAAAATGAAAAAAAAAAAAAACGAACAATTTTAGGGAGAGGGCTCACATAAACTTTGAATTTTGGTAATCAATATTCAAATTTATTAACTATTTCCTCCTTATTTCGATTTTCACAAGTTCAATTTGTCTGCCACGTTTTCTATATTGTAAAACAATTTTAAATACAAGTAATACAAATGAGAAATAGTTAACAAGGTACAAAAAAGGGAAATGGTTAACAAGATCACAAATTTCATTGCGAAGGTAAACAAAGTCGTTACATTCTGTACTGTTTGTATTGAAACCATTTATATTTGATCATTTAGTCTGTTTTGGGAGGGCCGAAGGTTTGAATCCCGACGTGTAGAGCTCCGTCATTTAAATATTAAATTTTTGCGCTCAGCTTTATTTAAAAAGTTTTGAAAAAGTTATTGTTTTAAGTGATTTTGTAAATGATGCTTCGTAAGATTTAAAGGTTGCATATACATTGACATGCCAGACAAGTAAAAACAATTCCCGCAGGTTTTACGGGAAAAATTTGGCTATCTTTAAACTTGATATCTGTTTTATTTCGATGCATTTTTGAAGTTTTTTTTTTAAATTTGAAGATAGCGGCTGACATTTTGAGACGCTCTAATTTGTGTAATTGGCTGTACTTTCTGCCCCAACAACTGTCCAATGTTGCGTCTCTATCTAATCATGCCTAATTACCACCCACGACGCCAGCAGTCTCTCTATCTACATCTTTATTTTCCTTTTTTTTCTCTCTAGCCAACTGCTCGACTAGCAAAAAGAGTATCTAATTACCGTTAAATATTTCTAAGACATTCTCGATCTATTCCGTAATGCAAAATGCCTAAAAAGATATTTCAATTATAATTTTCAACTGCTGTACAATTACAACTTAATTCCACACGAAAGCACATCGACTGATTCATATCATCATTTAATACTGCTTGTGTGACAAACATTTAGTATACCAATCGAGTATTATGCCAGTCGACACACTAACTTCTGCTCATTTTCTGTGATCTTGATTATTTTAAAATGGTCTGCTAGTAGCAGACTTAACTCATATATCCTTGTTTTTTGCTCTGTTCCTCCTCTGTGTCCTCCCCTCCTCTCAAACGACAGGAAGAGCGCGTAGAGCCCTTGTTCTGCTCTGTATTAGTGAGAATAGAACCGGATTGGGAGTTAAGAGCTTGCCTTTGTCTAGTACCGCCAAAAGACATTCCACTTCCTACCTCCTATTACTTCTTCAACTGCAATATCCCCCACCCCCAAAAAAATCATCCATCCCCGCCGTCTCTTCATTTTCACTCAGGATGTTTCTCTCTCTCAACCATTCATGCTGGAGCGAAGAGATACTTAACAGTCAAATGTCAATGAAACGGTCGGTCAAACACTTGAACATGTTTTTCCTGCTTCCTTCAGCATAATTGAAAAGCGGTAATTGAGGTCTAGTGGCACTCGAAAACGCCAATAAACTCTTCAGACGATTCTTCCTTTTTGAGAGCTTTCAATTACAGAGGGTAATTTTTGAGATAAAAGCAACGACTACTACGTCTCACAGCATTTGATGCTTATTTATGGGATAGAGTGAAATACAAGCCGTGAATTCCATGCCAAATTGCATTGTTTGCAATATCCTTGTCAGTCAATGAATCTGAATGCAGCTCCCTTTGACGACGGAAATCAATTTGAACCGATATCAACCCGTGAAAAGAGCATTCATTAAGAGACCAATGAAACTAAAACGCATTAGTTTTTCACCGATAAGGATGCTCTAGGTCCACAGAATAGCTGTCAGTTTGTAATGAAGTATAATTTATGTGCAATTGTGTTGGGTGTAGTGGACGGTGGCTGGTCCGAGTGGAGTGACTGGAGCGAGTGCAATGTGACCTGTGGACTGGGGTCCAGTACCCGAGACAGACACTGCACCCAGCCCGCCCCAGTCAATGACGGTCTCTTCTGCCAGGGAGTGGCCTTGGAGCAGAAACAGTGCACCAGACTCTGCAAACGTAAGCCAACTCTCATTTCTCCTCTCTTTTTATTCGATATAATGGACGGATAAATCTCTTTAACAATTCTTAATAAGACAACTCGCATTAAACACATTTCGCAAACACTCACTGCCGCAGTAGCGCCAAAGTGTTGCGAGCTAGCCAACAGAGGGTAGTACTTAACAGGGGCGGATGTAGGGTTTTCTCGAGGGGGATGGATTTTCAAAAATTTTTAGAGAATTGTGTCGACCTGTTTTTAGTTTGACCAAATTGATTTTCCGAGCACTCCCAAAACACTATAAAGACCATATTTTGGCCAAAAATGTAGCACCGCATGCAATTAAAAAAAAACAGTTCAAAAGCCGTTTTTGGGCACTTTTTGAAAAATTTTGACCAAAAAATTGCGTTTTTCCGGCGCGCGCTGCCCCTCAAAATTAGCATATATTGGCGCCAAAATTTTAGGGTTGGTCGGCCGAAAATGGATGTAAAAAAATAATATCAAAAGGGGGTTACCTTGGTTGGTGAGGGGGCGCCTACCCTAAATCTGCCCCTGGTACTTATTTCAGAGCCGGTTATCGCCGCGAAGCCCACCGCCAATCTTAAATTGAAATTCTGAATTTAAATTATTTTTCGAACCTTCCGAGTTGTCTTTTGTTGAGAATTGTCGCGGTATCGTAAAAATCATCCTCTCTTATTATAGAGGGGAACCTCATAAGTAGGATCAAAATGTATCCGTTACATGCTAATTGTTCCTTTTTATTAAGACTTTCATTAGTTTTGAAATTTCTATTTGGAGCATGATTTTTTGCCATTTAACATACGCAAACATTTATCAATTAGTGGAATGAATTTTTCAAAGACTATTTAACTTGTCAAGTGATGACCCAAAACCACTTACTTGTTTTCTCATGTTGTTTCATTGCGTGTCTTTTGATTGATTTTCATTTGATCACTCATTTTTCTCTCTAGAATTTTTAGGAACTTTTCAGAGCTAAGATGATGTTTTTGAATATAGGTGCTATAGGAAACTCTTTAAAAACAGGTTCTTAAATATTGGCAAATTTTGTGTGCTTAAAAGAGTTAAGTCTCTAAAAAGATCAGCCTCGAAGTATTGCTGTTAGTGCTCAAACTGCGGCTGTAAACAGGAAGCTAATGACAAAGTTTGACCTTTTTCTTCTTGTTCTGCTCTGAAACTAAATTTTTCGCGCTTATAAAACCATATTTTATCACGTTTTATAATTCTCTATAGCTGCTATAAGCAGGTGAGCTTCTTCAAACATAAAATCGATTTCGGCGCCTGGGGAAGCTCAAGTCTCTTCTCTTCGGAAGTAAATTCTTTCAAATTGATTTCTGACGTTTTCATTGCTCTTTTCTAACTGCTCTAGAACTAATTAGAAGGCCCAGAGCAGTTCAATTGTTGCGCTCATCTATTATCAGATCAACTTGTTCAAAACAGTTTCGATTATTTTCAAAACTTTTTTTCCCCTAATTGGAACTGGAAAAAAAAAACAACTGGTAAGCCCTTTGAAGGCAAAGTTGAAAGTTTAAGCGGTCACAATTTAACTTTTTTTTACTGATGATTACGGTGACGCTTCTTCCTGTTTTTGTTTTTGTTTGATGGCATTCACAACTACAGCCTTTCAGTTTGCTTCGACGTGAACTGCTCTATCTATCTATCGGCAGAATGGCATCCGCACAAGTTGCTTCCTGTCGATATTTGTGTTGTTTTACTGAAAAATTGCCACCGTTTTTCCTTTAAAACATGTTATGAGGCACTTTTTCACTTCAACTCAATCAAGACTATTCAAGGGCAGAAATTAAAAAGCAAATTATTCTCCGCCCAATTTTCAACATTCGCTCTAGGCGCCTTTCAGATGCCTCCTCAGACAAATATTTATTGCGTAAAAGTGGCTTCAAAACTATGATAGAATTAATAATCATCATCATTATAATAATAAGCCAATATATTATATTATATATAATATTAATAATAATAAGCCAAATCACCTCAAAACGCATAAACAGAATGTTCCGATCAGTTTTTTGAAAGTAAACGCTTGAGGTGACCAGCTTTGTAGAAGTCGACCTTTTTGTTACTAATTACTAAAACATGTCTAGCGTTTTGATAAATCTTTGCCGCTTGTATAAGAGTTAAATCTTTGAATAAATAAAATTAAATTTTACTTATATTGGGATCAATTGAATTTTTTCTATATCGGTTGCTGTGGTTGTTATTGGTCTGGCTAAAAAGTTGTTTATTTTTGTTTATTTGTTGTGTTTGCAGAAGACGGAGGCTGGAGTGAGTGGAGTGAGTGGAATGCATGTAACACCCAGTGTGTGCACCACAGGACCCGCAAGTGTAACAGTCCCTCCCCTCGCAATGGGGGCAGAGACTGCAGGGGGGACACTATAGACCACGCCAACTGTACGGGGGGACACTGCAACCAAAACTACGTCAACAGTCAGTACACTCTAACAGTACCCTCATCACGCGTATTCTCACTTAAGCAGTCGATAACGCGTTTTTGCATTAAATATTTGAAGATTCTTCTATTATTTTGTAAATCGGTTTCAATTGCTATGAGCGTCATGTTTAACATTTCACCAACGTTAAAGAAATTACTCTCTTCTCAATTCATAGCCTGATGAGTTTTCGTAAAGAGCTTTAATTCTTTGCAAACCGATTGAAGCGATGAAAACAAACGAAATTCTTAGTGCTTTTTCTCTTTATGAGCGTATTTGAAAAAAAAATTAAGCTTTTCAGCAACCATTTCATGCTATTAAAAGAAAAAAAAATATTTTAAAGAAAACTTTCATTTCTTGATAGGCTTAATAAAAACTTAAATTTTCTCAAATCCATCTTGAAAGGTTTCAAACTTTCAGGACTAAATTAGCTATTAAAATAACTCGAATTGTTTGAATGTTTCACCGCTTGATAGCTCAGTTTAAAAAACTTGAGCTTTTCAGGGGGTGGTGACTGCCATGTATTAAGATACAAGACTAAATATCCGGTCACCAGGTTATGTATAAGATAGGGCATAGAGTTTTTAATATATTACGATCGGGAAGAGATTTTCCCATGTAGTGAGATAAAATAATAAAGTTTCCATGCATTAGTATAGGGAATATCATCTTTTACCAGGTATTAGGCTTTTGTGTCCGAATTTTTTTTTGTTATAAAATAAGGAGTAGATAGCATGTACAAAGATAGGAAATTTTTCTTTTTTTTTATAAGATGTTATCTTTTAAGATAAGAGAAATTAAAATTTGTGTTTCGTGTTAAAAATATGGTAAGAAAATTTAGTTTTTGCGTTTTGTGAAGAAAATCTTTTGTTTTATGAATCCTTTTTGTTCCGACTTTCGAAGAAAGTGACGGAATATTTGTATTCGGGGTGGTTTTTTTCTCCATACTAGTTTCGACTTTTCAACTAGCATTTTTTGGCGGAGCTTTTTTGTACCACTCGAAAGGTGTTGTTGTCTTGAGCTCAAATTAAAAAATATGTCTTGATTTTTTCATGGAGCTATTGTGGTTGAAAGTTAGCCAATTTGGGACAATTAACGGCACGATATACTTCGAGCTACTAACGCGTAATCGGAGATTTAATCCCTCTTAGAAATTGTTGCAATTTGGACTGAGGCATGAAATTTGCACTATTTAATACTTTGCTATATGCGAAATACACTTTTTTTCTGATTTTTGAAGAAAACAGAATATTTATGCTTCGTGTGGTTTTTTATCCAGTCAATTTTTGGCGATCGAATTAATAGTTTTTAGCAAAATTTTTTATGCCTCATTAAAGATATTCACTCTCTGAAATTAAATTTAAAAAGGTATGTTAGCTCCGATCTTTTCTCGCAAAGTTTTGGGAGTTTGAAAATTGCCAATTTAGCCATGGTCTGGACTAATCTATGCGCGCTTTGTAGATTTTATTGATAATTTTGCAAGCGTAACGCGAACTAAATATGCGTGGCGAAAAATCCCGCACAACTTTTCAATGGTCGGAACAAAAAGGAGTGCTCATATTTGGGAAACAATTTTGATGCATATTATTGACAATTTAATAGCATGACTTCGAAATGCTTTTTGGGGGTTACTTAAGCTTGAATATTTATACGCTTTTCAACAAACAATCAAACAAAGTTTGCAAAAAATGCGAAGCCGAGAAGAGGAGTTGAGCTGGAAGGTAAAAGTTATTAGTCTGGTTGCCTAGTTTTGAAAATCCGGTATGTTTCAGCTAAGATGAGAAAAGACTACATTAACTCTGGATCATCCAACCCTTGTAAGGCGACGATTTATTTCGAAGTAGTTCCCGAATTTTTAATTTCTGTTTCGATTGCTTATCTTGCTGTTTATCCTTTGTTTTGTTCCGACTGTTTTTTCCTAAATATGCATGTTTGCTCCTCTTCAAGTCAAATTTAGTCCCGATCATCAATAATGAGACAATTAAAATGGAATTTTCGTCAATTTTGTCAATTTGGAGTTGGTTGCTTTAATCTGCTCGACCTTTCAGTTGATCAGTTTCAGTTTTGTTTTGAGAAGACAGATGATGAATTCCTTTGGTTAGCTGATGAAGATAGGGTAATTGCATTGGGTGAAAATCTCTCCTAATTCTTATCAGCTCTTTCAGTTTTCCCTCTAATACCCTTTTCATTATCCTCCCCTGTCTTTTCCTACTATCCTGCCCTAGATTAGCCCTTTCACCCCTCCCCTGCAGAGATAGTAGGTCTACTGCATTGGTTGGTAATGGTGGTAAGATGCCACTGCTTAATTAGCAGCCAATTGTGGCTAACCACTTGTGAATCGGGCCAATTTCGCTTTCTCTTGCCCTTACCCTGTCCCTAAAGAGCTCTCCAATCCAAATACACGCTCAAAACCCAGCAGCTCTCAAAGCCTCCGCGTCTAGAGCTACCCCAGGTCGCTTTTGCATGTTGGAGCTTGAAAATCATTTCACAGTCTGACTGACTAACAAGGGCTAGTAGTAGTGACCTATGACCTATGGTGTATCTTGAAGGCATAGTCCAATCACAATTAACTGCAAAAAAAGTAAAAACAGAAATGAGGGAAATGCAGTGGAAGAATAACTCTTCTCTAGTCACTACAAATAGCATTGTCACTTCCCCCTCTCTCTCTCACATTTTTACCCTTCTCTCTCTTTTTCTTTCCGCTTTCATTCCTTATCTGCTGTCTTCCTCAAATTATGTTTTAATCTTTTCTCATTTTAATCCATCCTAGTAATCACTTTTACAATATATGTGCTTCCCCCCTCCCTCTCTCTCTGTCTTTCTCCCTCTCCCAGTCATTTCATTCAAACATAAACGTCTTTGACGTTTTTCACTTCTTAATCGCTCTTCTGCCGTTTTCGAGGCTTCCTTTTCCTGTGCGATGAGAACCGAATTTGAGCACAAATAAATGCGATCTCAATAAAACCAATATACATGATAGCTCCTTGAAATGATGTTTGCCTTTCCTGCGTGGAGCTAGATAGATCAACATGTTGAACGAACGTGCAATTGTGTACTGACATACTTCCTTTTACTAATCCAGCTATAAAGGAGATAATGAGAGTTAAATGGGTAGTGGCGTGTTGAAGGGGGGGGGGGATGGGTTATGTGTTTGGGGCTGCTTCCGGGAGTGAAAACATTGAGGGGAAGTTAGACGCAACTTTGCTCTTAATTCGCCCCTAAGTTAAAACAAGAAGAGCCAAGTGAGAACAACAAAGTCGGGGCTTGTGGTTGTGTTGTAGGGTGGTAGAAAAGGTAGAAACACGGGAACACATGTATGGAACAACAACTGGGCAATTATGCTGACAGTTGGGTACAGTTTGATTGCAAGTTTAGTACAGACTGTGGAGCCAATTTGAATCGCAGCTGGCCCGATTAAATGTTGTCATTGCTCCTCTCAGAGCTTATCCTAGAAACTATTCTATCTGGCAAATGTTTCGAATGCTCTTAACTTGTCATTTAAAACCACGTATCCAAGCGTTCTATCTTTCAGATTATGTTTTCGAACATATCTGTGACACTGAAGTAATCGAAACATAGAGTACAAACTTAGAGCTAGTCCAAAATATCATGTGTCGCATGAATACGCCAAAACACGTCCTTTTCTTGATATTAAACATCAATTTGATAGCATTGTGCCATATCTTACTTAATTTGAAACATGATTAGTTGCTAAAGTAAACTTTATCAAAACTAAAGTGAAGGATGAATCAAGGAAATTTCAGAATGCCCAAACGACATGTTTCTAAGTCACTTAGTTTTTGCCTGTGCACTTTCTATAAAGTCCTTGTAATAAGGTTTTGAAAGCAATCTTTGAAACGGAGGTTTTAACAGATGGTTTGGCGAATGGTGGGGTGAACAATAACAGACGTCCCTCTGGAACTGGGTTTGACTCTGCTGGGGACGGAGGTGGAAGCGAAGAACGAGAGGATGACATGTTCTTGTACACTCTGGCAATGGTCACTGCTCTTCTGCTGTTTCTGGCAGTGATGGCCTCTGCTGTGTTTCTGTGTGTGAAGAAGTACAAGTACATCTGCAGGATCACTGGCACAGGGGGACCCACCTCCTCCTCCCACCATTCTCACCCACACTACCCCCACACTCTGGCCATGGAGCAAGGTGAACTTACAATACCATGAAACCGCATGTCGAACAGCGACACCACGTCCGTCTGACGTTTCCACAAGATAATTTTTCACTAAATTACCGTAGCAGAGAACTGGAATGATAGAAAAACTACAATTCAGAAAAAAAATGTCAAATGGAAAAACAAAGGATCTCTCACAAAAAATTTGGAAATAAATCTTAAAATATCATGGGCCCCTGTCAGAGGTAAAAATATCAGAGGCTGATATTTTTGGAATTAATTCTCTAAACCTTACATTTTACGAGATAGGTTGTGATTTTTCCAGTTGACTTTTTTTGATTTTAAGTCGTACTATGATTTCAATAGATTGTACCAGATACGAATTTTTTAACCAAAATTTTTGGTTTACTATCAATTTTTTTGAACTAGTGAAAAAACAGGTATTTTTGGCTCGTTAGTACTTGCTAATATCATTCTGTGCTATCAAATATCCATTATATGCTTCAAAATTAACAGGACCTATCTAATGTTTTAGCGCATCATCAGTCAAGAGCCGCTTTGTCATATTCACCCAATGGGATATATGTCACTAAACACCATAACGGTAATTAAGCCTTTATCAACTTATATTTGATAGAAAAATTTGTAAACATGACACGAAATTTTTGCTGTCTTTTTTCCAGGAAACGTGGTGACTCGTCTCATGAGTTCCATGGCGGTATCCTCCTCAGCCAATCCAGCGCCTCCCGACGTCACCCAGCACCAAACTCATCACAACCAGCAGGCCATCCAGATCCTATCCGACGGAACCTTCTACAAAACCATGTTCCTTGAACCCCCCTCTTCCATGTGCTCAGGGGGCTCACCCGCCGCTGTCTCCTCCAGTGGGGGTTACAGACCACTGCCCCCAACCGACACAGTCAGTGACGTCATCTCTTCATCCGGGGGATACCCACCTAACAACAATGTCTCAGGGAACAAGAGGGGATCCCCCACTCGTTGCAATTCGGCAGGGCTCTACAGGTGAAAAAGAAAACCACAACGTGCATGGGAAATTATTTATCGCCTTACTAGACATCGTTAATCTTATTTGTACAGCCTTGAATCATAAATAAGTTCTTAAGTGAACCTATTAGCTGCATAAAAAATCTCTTGCGCAAGTTGTAGGCTATTTATTTTGCATGCCTTTTTAGAATATAATTCATCATTTTTGCGCAAAAACCTAGCAGCTCGAAATCTTGGTTCTCAAAATTAGTTTGAGCTTTGTGTTTAAATAGATTTGGTTTCAGCAACGGATATTACCCTCTGTAGTAAGTCATCTTAGTGCTAGGAACTAACATGTGACTGAGTTTCATTTCTGTATTTTTAGTTGTAGTTGTGTCCAAAATTAACTCGTCCGTATATTGTAACAGAAAACAATCATTGCAAACGGAAAACCCTCATTAAATCAGAGCGAGGTCCCTGTGTGTATAGTCCATTTCACTCGACAATGAATAGAAAATTTCTCGAGTCTGTCGATTTGGTTTCCCTGTTAACTAATAAATTTTTGGCTCTCATTAGTTTTGCTTGGAATTATTTTTTGGTCGTTTGGTTTTTTCAAAGCTGCGTGTTTCTTCAAACTCCTTGAAATGTTGCCTCGTAAACTGGTTTTGTTATTGGCTGAAAGAAAAACGGTATAAATTGATTGAAACTAAATTGTTCTGCTTTCTCTTAGCAAAACTGACACTGCGATGACTCTGCTCTCTGACCAATCGAGTGTTGCCAACTTCTGCAAGCAACAACAGCAGCCATCAAGTGACATGCAAATGGTCCGATCATCCCCCTCCGAGTTTCCCCTCGTTTATACTTCGTCGGGAGGATCTAGCCACATGCACCCCCACGTCCTCCCAAATGGGAGCAGGTTAAGTGACGTCACTTTAGTAAGTCGGATGTACGAGAACACTGCCAGTCATTACCAGAGCATCAAAGACATCGAGAGTGACGCCACAACTGGAACAGGCCACTACATGTCAACCCCCTTCTGCAATCAATCAGTTCAACCTCACCCAGCCGACAATCAAGTTAGCCGAAGCAGTGTCTTGGGAAAGACTCTTCCGGGGTATCCCGACAAAAACGCCAACATGGGAGGTATAATAGATACCTTCCGGAATCATCGAGGAGCGTTTCCTGGAATAAGTTCTGTAATAGGGATGAATCCGAATCAGAGGAACTGGACCGAGGAGAGCGACTATTTCTCCCAGTGCAGCTCAGAGGGGGGTTGCGGAGGAGGGGGAGTAGGAGTTGGTGGGGGGATGGAGGAAGAGAATGGTCTTGGGGCAGGGGGCACATATCACTTTGACCTCTGTCGAAACACAGTCGGTGCAGTGGACAGTTGTAGGACTTGCAATGACTCATCCTCAGCCGCAGTATCCAACAACAGACTCTCAAGAAGTCAGTTTTTTGAACCCTCTGTATTATTCATTCAGTCAACCTTTAGCAAGATCTATTCGGCGAACCTAATCATACCAAATCCGTATTAACCCACTAAAGTTTGAAGCATAAAGTATAATATTAGATTGACTTAGCTTCAAAGTTAACAGCAAGTAAATTTTTGAGCAAAAGTTCTCTTTAAAAAATTTTTTGAATTCCACGGACGTCTGCTCCAAAAATTTAAAATAAGTTGGGATGTCTTCAAGAAAACTAGAGAAAAAAAAACAATTATGCGCAGCGTTGTTTGAAGATTTTCTAAGCGAACGATTTCTCTAATACCTTCATTGAATGACTTATACGTGTAGTTGTATTAAAGTCCGAACAGCACTGACCCTTGTGGTTGTATTCAATAAGACTTAGTATGCAAATGACCTGGTGTTTAGATGCCGTCTACTGCTCCAGCAGTTGAGACGCAAACACATCATCTACAAAACAACAACAGCTAGAATAGACTCCAAAATGAAAGAAAAGAACATCAGTTACATTTCTGCAACTGTCATTTAAAAACAGGCAGCCAGGAAATGAATATAAGAGTTGAACAGATCTCTCTATTGATATCTTGGAACAACAGCCAATAACTCAGTCTCAGATCAGATCAGCCATCATATTCAAGTGAACAGCCATCATAAATCAGAAGTCTGCCAAGCGTACAAACAAGGCGCCATCTACAATACAATTGAGGAACAATACACAGACACTTCAGTCTGACTGTCTGAAATACCTAATAAGACAGGCTGGCAGTCTTCGGCCAGAACTGCTGCAGGATGGATACCAAGTACAAACTACGCCATCCAACTGCTCTTATACAAAACCAGCCACGAAATCAGAACCACTACACCACTACATAAACTAAAACTCAACAACTAAGAAAAAGCGCAACGAACGAGAAAAAGAATAAAATCGGCTATTGAGATTTACATCAAACACAAAAAATGGAACGAAGCTGAAAAAAAACGCACAGGAGAAGAAGGAAGTAGATAAATCTGGCTTGGCTGTTGTTACCTTAGAAGGAAATTAAATTTTAAGAGTTTCCTCATGCTTTATTTTTTAACAAATTGCACTTTTATGGACTTACTACTTGAGTTTCAATTTCTTACACTTTTTGTTTTTGATGCCGGATCTCTGCTTAATTTAGATAGTTTCAATCAAATTTTTTTGTTCAAAATACAACTAGTATTAAATTGAAATGCGGCGAGGTAGTTTAGTGAGGTTTATTACAGATTATTGACACAGAAGCTGAGAATAACTTTTCAACATTTCTTTAAAAAGTAAAATGGTCACAATGATAGAAAAAATCAAGGAAGTTTTAAAAAAAGCAGATTGTTTTTTAGATTTGAAATGAATTTAACACAAATAGATTCTAGGCTCAAGGAAATTTAGCAAACGACGATTTAAAACAAATCTATCAGAAGTCAGAACACTCTTTGTTATATTTTTTGTCAATCAGCTCGGAGGCATAACCACAAGTTTAAAGTTTCATGTTAACAAGAGAGCATATATCAGTGCCCATTAAGCCATGTCTCAAATGTAAAAGCTCATTTCGCAAATAGCAGTGCACCAACAACCAGAGTGCCACAATGGCACAATTTAAGTGAAACTTCCTCAAAATTTTCCTAAAACAAACATCAGGCAGTCTTAACCACCGTCAACATTGAAAAAAAAAAGAAATTTAATACCACTTTTTCGAAAATTTTAGTCAACTATTGGAAAGAAGGTAACCATCACAAAAAAAATTTCGTCCAAATTTTATTTGAAGTTCATATAAAGTAAAACTTACACGGGTAGTTACCTTTTAAATACTGGTCTGAAAAGTAAAACCATTCAGATTGATCGTTTCCCCGTCATTGTATTTTTTTGTCTGAAATATTTAATGCATTTTGTATCGTAATTTTTTCAAATTCTATATAAAATATACCACAAAAAGCAACTATAAAAACTTGTAAGTCATAAAATATGAGTATTTATTTATCTTATCCGCTATTACAGTGCTAATATAAATTATCCAGAGAAAATGAAAAAAATATATAATTTTCTTTAAAATTTAGGTTGAAACAAGAAAAAAAAATTGGGAAGGCAAGTTGCTTAGTAGTTTACCAAATTTTTTATGGAATAAATTACTTTGTGAAATTCGATACCAAAGTTTTCCTCAAAAATGCAACATTTTTTTTCTATTAAAGTCAACAAAAAATTACTTTAAGACTATCGTTAGATTGCTGAGAAAATCAACAAAATCATTTTATAGAGAACCTCTCATAAAGCCCAATAAATTTCATTAGAAGAACCAGCTGCAAAAACTTTGAAAAATGATTTTCTACTTTTTTGATTGAAAAAAGAGGCATTTCTCGAAAATTTGGGTTTTTTTCTGCTTACAAAACAAAATATATCTCGTGAAAAAACTTAAGAAGCTACTTAGGAGTCTTCACTGATGTAAATAGTAACAAATGAACAAAAAACAAAGCGCAATTTCAACTGATTGAAAAGGGAGAAAAAAGTCCGGTTTTGTGGAGCAATTCTGGTCAGAACATTGCGAAGTAAATGACTCCTGTTTTTGCTCGTACACCTTGGCAAAACCTGAGTATTCCGGCTGCTTCTTAAAGCTGAAAAATAATTCGAAAAAAAACATGTATATTAAAGAAACAAACATTGAAAAATTGCTTTTTTATTTTATCAGCACACGCGCTATAAAAAGTACAACGGAAAGTATTTAGCGCTCCGCATCATGCTTATTAGATAAAATTGCTGGCGTTCGTTCAGTTTTGAAAGAATTAGTTTGTCTCTTGCGCCTATTATACGACCGCAAAAGGTCGCTCTTCATTTGCGTTCATAATTAGCCAACGCAACTTTTGGTTAAATTTGCCTTTTTCCATTCCCATGTTTTTACACAAAAAAGTAGGTGGAAAATATTTATGGTTTTGAACTTACGACAACAAAGTTTCAGATGGTAAAACATTGGTAAAAAGGAATAGTTTGAAAGTTAAAAGAAAAACCCCTCCCACGCATGAATATTTCGTAGCTTCATTTGAAAGCAGATGGTTTAATTTTGTTTTGTCCGGATAATCAGCACTGTTTGTAGTCACAAAATATATGACACAAATTCTCCCAATTTAAACGAACTCATATCTAAAATGTCCAATCATAACTTGAATGCGAAAATTAACATTTCTTGTACGTATGTTTGAGGTTCAACTTTTTTTAAAAGAAAAAGATCACAATGAATAGAAAAAATCAGGGAATTTTGAAAAAGCAGATTGTTTTCAAGATATTAATTGAACTTAACTCAAATAGCTTCTAGGCTCAAGGAAATTCAGCAAACGATGATAATAGTATATGTTGGTGGCGATCAGGGGGGTTAGTGGATGACCCCTATGTTTTAACATAGGGAAAAGATTTCCCAATGTGTTAAGATAGGGAATAGATTTCCTAATGTATTAAGATAGGTAATGGTAAGGTTTCAGTGTGATAGTAAGTTTCAGAAAATTTTTTCGACGCCCAATCTTACCATGTCTTAAGATCCTCTACACCAATCCGATAGGGTATAGATTTATCAGTATATAAGAACATGTTTTTAATAATGTTCTTAAACATTTGATATTATACTGAAACTGTCTGAAACTATGCTAAAACCTAATTGAAACTTCGAATAAAAAAAAGTTTTTCAGAGAAAAAAATTGAATTACTATAAACTGTTACATTTCAATTGAAGAGTTAAATAACATATAAACCAATGCATCGTATAAAACTTTGCTACAGTGTATAGGTTAAATTTACAAATTCAATGGTTTAGTATGTATTCCATCATTAAGTACTTCCCTTTTCGGGTAAAAGTAACTGAGTCCTTTTTTAGTTTGTTCATATGTTCCGACTAAATGGTTGGAGGTTTTGAATCCGCAATTCGTCGACTTCAAATTTAATGCTTCATCAAGAACTCTTCTGTATTTGAACGTTGGTCCATCCCCAGTATCTTCTAGCGTTCTTTTGTTGAGTCTTTTGCTATTAAATTTAAGTTTGTCGCTTTACTATCATAGCAGCAATACGTCTTGCTGCACAGGCACAACACTTCAGTACAGCGAAATTCTTCTTTGAACAGACCGGGTTGTCGTTTATCATGCTTTTTATGAACAGCGCAGCATGTACGTGGGAAGAAATTTTTCTTTGCATTGGCAATAAAGTCATGGCTGCAGTCATTTCGACGGATTTATTGCCATTGAGCTTTCTTCTCAGGTAAAATACAATCCTCCAAGTTCCCTTTGGCTGATGCTAGATACAGAGAGTCTGTGTCTACCTCCAGTTCCTCGAACTTGTTATCTTCGCAATATTTATGAAAAAAATTGTAACATAACTCCAACATTCTGAATTTGGCATACTGAAGAATGAAAAAGCCTATAATTATTGGTCCCCTGTGTTCGATTATTGAATTTAACAGATCTACTTAATATAAATCTGTTTTTTCACAAAATTCAATCGCTTAAAAATTTTTTCGTTTAATGTTTTGTCTGTCTTTTCATCGCCGAAATGTTTTGGTTATCGGATGTCTAGATCTGTCCATAATTTGATAACGGTACGGACTGTTACCGAGAAGCTTCATGGTCTCAGCAACAACTCCAGAGTAAGGATTATTGTCTTTTTCTCGTCGAGCATCAACATCAGATTAAACAAAGTTGTTGAAACATTTCCTAGTCTTGTACTCAACAAACCGATAATTTTTTGTGCATTGAAGTCCAAGACTTAGATAGAAGTTAAGAAGGGGAGTAATGATTGTACTATTTTCTAATTTAAAACTGGAAATCTGCATTCGTTGTTAATTTTTCAACAAATCATTTTCTTCGACATAGTTTTTCATGTATTCCACAAAATGGTTTGGGCAGACGACAATATTTTTAAGTATTAGAGGAAAAATTGAAAACTCGGATTTCAACTTGTCGGGAATAATTAAATCGCTTTGCAACTAGCCAAAAAGAGATTCGTTATATATTTTTAAAGTAAAGAATCAGCAGACAGAGGTCTTCTATAAGAAAATTTGTCTTGACTTGATTCTAGACTGAAGAATTTGATGTAAAATTCTCCCATCACTCACACTCCCAAATTTTCTGAATATTTTTTTTTCTTTCATATACACTCGTCTCAACTCATCCATTTCTCGCTTCTTATTTCCCATTTCAAAATCTTGTTCTGACAAAGATGGACGAGTTTCTTTGCAGAAGCAGAAGTGATAGCAGTATCCCATAGCTTCAAATACTGTTTTACAGTGATCGCAGTAGCCATCAACATGGAAGTAGTCTACTTTCTTCAGCATTCCGGTTGTTTAAAAATTCTCAATTTTACACTCTGGTCTCAATTCTTGGTAAAAGGACATGACCATGATCTCGAAATTTCTTGTTCTGTTATTTTTAGCTATAAGCAGATCAGTTTCAGAGTCATACTCCCATCTTGTGTAAAGTCCGGTCGGCATCTCTTGGAACAATGAGAATGGATATAATTGGCTAGCGTCAGTTCCAACTATTGTCTTGCAAACATTTGACGAGTAAAGAATATAAATTTGATCGACAACAGTTTTTCGCGTAAAAATTTTGATGGAACACCAGTCATGTCTTCTCTAATTTTCTCACATAAATCCTTATCTCCTTCAAAGAACGATTAGAATTTGTGATATGTTGTTTTGTGTAAGCAGATATTTGGAAGCGTGCATCCCAGCTTCAGCATGTCAACTCACTACTTATCATGGTAAAATTCTATCATTTTTTGCATAGCTTCAAGAGTAAGAACAACATCTTTGTTGTTATACCATCGTAAGAAGTCTTTGAAAGTAATCATGCTCTGTTGTTCCCAAATGCTTTTCAAATAAGAGTATTTTCAAAACCTGTTGGTAGAACTGATTGAATACGTAACTTTTTCAGCGCACTTTGTTAATCAAGTCCTCCATTAATCATTTTTTGGTAATCGTTGAAATCTTTCTCGAGAGGGTTGTGATTTCTCAGTTTGCTGATAAAAGCTTCGAATAGAGGCAGTTCCGTACAGTCAAGCTTGTCTGGACTGACAAAACCATTCGTAGGGGAAAAAAATTTTGGTTTCACTTGCTTTATAGGCTTTTAGAAACGAATCCGATGTTGATGCTCTTCCAAGAAACTTCATTATGTCTGGAAATTGTACATC